ATCCTAGAAAAAAACAAAATTATCCAACACATAATTCTAACATTATCTGTAAGAGGAAGGTTTTATCACACCGTTCTAAAACAAGCGATAGAATTGTTTTAATAACAACACATTCTGTGTTAGTTATAGTTCTAAGCAATAACTAATTTTCATTTTGATTCTATGTAGTTTATTAATCCTATTAGAAAAATTTAGTAATTTTAATAAAATGAATCTTTTCCCACAGAATTCTTTTTTCATTCATTAATGTGCTTGTCCCTAACATCTAACTTTCAAGTTGCATGTTATGTCAATATTAAAAACAAAAACCACACTTCATTGACTAGGAAACATTTACTATAAGCCATTGATTCTTACTATTAAGAGGATCCCATATTCCTTCTTTGAAAATCTGATGAAAACTATGAATGTATTTCAGGGAATTTACAGATGCCTTGAAGTTTCAAACAATCTCTGATGGTGGAAAACAATAAGAGTATAAAAATTAGGCCAAAAAATTTGGAAATGTAATAAATGATTAAAATGATTGTAACAGATAGTATGGAGAAAAGATGGCTAATTAATATAACATTTGACATAAGTAGCTTTTCAGTGAGAAAAATTACAATAAATTTCTACAACTATAAAAACAGTTTAATGGGCTAAATCTAAAAAGGAAAATTGTAACATACTGCAATAAAATATAAAGAATGTGCATAGTTTAATTAAATAGAATCTTCTCAAGAATAGAAAAATTTGACTGTGGAGCTTTTAAAACTTCTATGTAAGTAAACATAAATAAACTCAAGGGACAAATGAAAATCTTGGGAAAAAACAGATGCAAGACGTATGACAAGTAAAGAATTATTCATTTAATTTTTTGAGGCTTAAGCAAAACTGCTTTTATGAAAAAATTCACTGTGACCAGAGAGAACATTCCCAGGCAGTACCACTAGGTGCACTAACTCAGAGCCAGTTGCTGGATGCTTGCCTAGAGGGAGTGGAGGTGGGGTGTGGGGTGTGGGGTGTGAACTACAGAAGCTCCACTTTGCCCAGCCCAATTCTGGTTTTGGGGGTGTACACCCTCATATTATCAAGAAAGACCAGTGCCTGGAAAAGGGCATCACTTGGTAAAGTCGAAGGTCAGTGGAAAAAGGGAAAACTTTCAATGAGATGGACTGGCACAGTGACTGAAGCTTAATGGGCTCAAACAACAGCAATTGTGAGGACGCTACAGGACCTGACAGTGTTTCATTCTGGTGTACACAGGTTGCTATGAGTCAGAACCAACTTGATGGCACCTAACAACAGTAGATATATAATGACAGCTCATTGTAGACTAAATTTTAATTTCCTTAATGATTAATGATGTTGATGACTTTTCTATGTTTGTTTTAAAAAATTTAAGTTTAGAATGTGTAAAAGATGCATAAGTTAGCTAACAGAAAAGTACACAGATGAAAATGAACTAGCAAGTAACAGAGAAATAAAGCATACGTAAGAGAAAATTAATATGAAAGCATATCATTGCACAGCCTCAGAGTAGCAAAATATAAAAACTAATAGTATCCACTGTTTATGAGCATGTGGGGGCAGTGTGAACTACTATAAATTGGGGTGGGGGCCATACACACATATTTGGCTAACATATTTTAAAGTCTGTTAAATTATAAAACATTTAAATTCTTTGTGCGAGCAGTGCCACATATAAACGTCTACCCTACTGGCATCAACACATAAAGAGATAACTGGACATAAAAAGGTGTTTCTTGTAGTACTGTTTATAGTAACAAAAAAGAAAAAAATGCTTTTTAAAAGGGGGAAGTGGGGTGGGGGAAGTGACACAAACTAAATGTCCATTACTGACATATTGGCTTAATAATTTATAGCACAAGAATACTCTGGAATATTATACAGCTATTAGAACAAGTCAAGTTTATATATATTGATCTGGAAAGATGTTCATATTATATAAGGGGAGGGAGGGAAACAAGCTAGATAGCAATGTACACTATGATCCTATAATTTAAATTTTTAAAAAAATTTTAACTGTATTGTATTTTCTTTTTTTAAAATCATTTCATTGTATTTAAGTTCTGTTTACACATTTAATTTTCCAGTGATCAATGACTATACCTTAATTTTAAATACATCTATTGTATTTACTATTACAATATTCTCTAGTCGAGGTACATACAAGACATTATAAGACCACATCCTTCTAAATCTCCTACAACAAAAAAGACGATGAATGCTAAAAACAGCTTTAATGTCAAAATGTTCAATAGTTTTTCTGATGCCAAATTAAAATGCTTTTTAATGTTGTAATTTTACACTTACAGAATGCAACCACAGGTTTTTTTCCCCCTGCAGCAGAAATAAGCTATCTATTTCAGTTGTTTTATTGGGTAATATAATTATGTTCATTATAGAGATATAAACAAGGGGCCGACATTATACTAAACCAATTCCTTTGTGTCAGAAATTGGGTTTTCTCAAAATTATATTCATTCCTTGCAATAAATGCAATTAAGGGATGATATTACAGTTTAAAAATCATATTCAAATGGCTAAATCTTAGCCTAACAACAATACAAAGTCTCAAGCAGCACAGTATAATGAAAGGAGCACTAGATTTGGAATCAGACATACCTGGCTTCCAATCCTAGCTCTGTATTTACTAGCTATGTGATCTCTGAAGTTATATAACCACAGAACCTTTTCAACATCTGTAAAAATAGTTTCCTATGGCATCCTGGAAGATTAAATAAAAATGTCACAGATGAAAAGTCCTAATGCAGAGCCTGATGATTTCCATAAGATTTCATCTGCCTTCTTTCGTAGGGGTCTAATTACTAATAGGCAACAAGCTTTAGATTGCTAACAAGAAAGTCAGTGGTTCAAACCCACCAGTTGCTCGGAGGGAAAGCTAAGGCTATCTGCTCCATTGAAGATTTGCAGACTTGGAAACCCTCTACAGAGTGGGTCACTAGGATCAGAACTGACTCAATGGCAGTGGGCTTTAAAGACTTTTTTAAAAATGCAAGACTACTGTTGGAAACAGTTACTTTTTGCCATGCTTTTGCATCTCCAAATAGTTATTACATCCTTCAAATGTTTTATTTTTGAAGCTCCCATTCTTGAGTAATTTTTGAGGAATATTTATTTTGGTCTATACTTACTATTTCTGACCCAATTTAGAGGGAGAGGAGTTGTTATTATTGTTTAATTATAAGAAAACATGCTACTTCCTACCTGTGGCTTTTTTCACAACTTTCTTTTTAAAACCATTCATGCTGTCTCTATGGAAACCACTTGAAAGTATTACGTAAAAAAAGTTACAAGAAATCAGAAATTGAAGTTATTCACTCTATCCCATTAATAGATCAACTCCATAAAATTTCAAAGAGCAATACAACAAGGCATATAAATTTCAATTTTCAAACCTTCCTCTAAGAGTCAAGTTTGTCTATAAAACGGAATCATTAACAAGATCAGACTGTCACCCACAACGCTGCTAAAAGTATATAAACACAAGCCACAGTTGCCAGCTTTCAATATGTAAAGTGAACACTTTAATCAAACAAGACACATTAATATAACCATGGTAAATAAATTGGTATTGCTTCAAAATTGCATGGGGTAATTTTGGGGAATATCTTCATCTCTTCAACTTTAAATGTACTTCAGTCAGTTTCATGTAAGGCTCTTTGATCCTCTTTGATCCCATGCCCCTTTAAAACGTTTCAGTGGCAAAAAAAAAAGTTTCAGTGGCTTTTATAGTCTACCAAAATTGAAAATAAGTAGCTACGGTATGTAATATTACAATTGGTTCTTGACATATTTACCTAAAGAATAATCATCATCCACAGCAGCATTTAGCTGTTCCTCATAGTTATTCTCTGGCCTAAATTATAATTGAGGCAGTTTATTGTTATTGCTTGCTTTTCTAAAGGTATTTGAAATAATAGTGAGGGGAAAGCATATTCACAGAAACACTTCACATTACCTTTCCAGGATCAGATTACAGCCTCTTCAGTTACGTGTCAAGTACATTTTCAAATAAAAAATTACCGCTGACATTCTTTCAACACCCATCCTGCGCTCTTCCAAAAGCCAAAGTTCCTCACTAATCTTAAAGTACCTAATATCTACATTTTTTCTTGTTTTCCTTTCATCACTTACATTCCAAGTTTTTGTACTGTTAGTTAACTGCTTACAGCACTTAACCATTTTGGTTAAATGGCTGCACATACACCATACATGTAAACCTCATGAGAATCCCTCGCCTCTCCTAAATTCACTCCATCAATTGGCGAGAAGCAACGCATTTACACCCCACTATTCATAAACCCGAAAGTTTAATTAGTTTAGCGCCACTGGGGAAGCATTTAAAGCCCCGGATGCCTGATTTCGGTACCTGGTGGAAGCTTTGTATGCTTCCCAGAACGATCTTCGCAGCCTACCTCTCCAGCCGGTTGTGTGGTCCCTTGCTGCCCCCAGCACTGGAGTGCATGCAACTCACTACAGTGTATTTCTTTCGCTCACTGTCCCTCCCGGTATCTCCCTTCCATCTCTGCGCATCCACCCCACTGCAAAGACTGCGCACCCAGGTGCCCCCATCTCAAAGAAAGAGCACCGTTCCCCTGACATCGTCGCGGTTTCCGAAGGACTTTCGGTGCACCGGCGAGGCTGAACGCTTCTATCGGCTCCACACCGCCCGCGCCCTCCCGAGTTGGGCTTTTTGCTCGCGCTCCCGACGTGGACTGCCCACTTCGGGGCAACCCTTCTGCTGGCGAAGTCCAAGATTGCAACCCCGGCCCGTGACCTCTCGAACCCAGCACGCCCCTCAAGCTTAATCCGCCGCATTCTTGGAGCTTGTGCTCCCGAAATGCCCCCCGTCCCAGCTCCCCGAAGCCGACCCCAGGTTAGGCGAACGCCCATTTGCTCCGGTGGCCACCCCTCCCCGGCCCGGCCCCTTTCGCAGCACTCAGTCCGGAGTGAGTGCCTCGGCTCCTCACCTAGCTTCGACCGGGACTCCTCCAGTTTCTGGATCTGGTTCTCCAAGAAGAGCATCGCCACGGCGAAGACCACCACCGCCAGCAGCTGCAACTTGGGCGGCATCATAATCCTGAGGAGCCCCATGAAACCCGCCGCTCGGGATCAAGACATACCGCGGGGGGCGGGGAGCGGGACCCCGGAGGCGAGAGACGCCGGGAGGAGCCCACCGAGCCGGCAGAGAGGCTAGGAGAGCGCGACGGCGAGAACCACCGCAGCGACCCCCCTTCGCGCCTCCCCAATCCCCCGCCCCCAGGCACCGGTACCAATGCCGCCGGTACCCGCTTTCCCTCGGCAGACTCGATGGCCAACCCCTCCAAAAGTCCAAGCAGCAAACTGCGCGAAGCGGCTGCCAGGCTCTTGCCTTCTCTACCGCCTCAGTCCGGACCCCCGCGCCCGCCAGTCAGCCTGCCTGCCTCTCTGGCTTCCTTCCCTCCCTCCTTTGCTCACGGCCGCGCGCTCCGCCACCAGCGCTGCGGCTGCGGCTGCGCCGCCCTCGGCCCCGCCCCCTCCCATCCCCCTCCGCCACCACGCGCACGCATCCACGTACGCTGCTCGGCAACCAGAGGCTCCGCCCTTCATGCCGTTTGCTTGTGCTTATTGGCCCGCAGAACCGCGGCACATTGCTTGGGGTTCGTGTTACGGTTGGTTTCCTCTGCCACAGGTCTCAACTAAGACAGCATTCGATTGGATAAACTGGGAGAAGGAGGCAGGACGAAGCTAGCGAAGGCGGGGCTTCTTGGCCGCTAGACGAACGTGGAGTAATGAAGCGGAGCCTGAGAAGCATACATTTGGGGAGTTTAGCAAAGTGCCTGATTTGCTTTATCGAAAGGACCTGACCGCTCTCTTTATAGTGTGTCGTCTTTAAGGTTTTATTTGCCGTTAGATCATATCCTTCCCTACAAAATGAGATATTTGATGACAACGGTCCTTAGCAGTACGTTTTAAATCAGGCTCTGGAGTAGACGCCTCAAGCTGACGGGTCCCCTAGCTGCTGCCTCAGAACTGCGGAAGAAGGTGGTGATGGCGGCTGAGCCAGGAGGACGGGTTGGGCCGGCGTTTAGGCTAAGATTGCTGTTGATGTCTGTGCTGCAAGCGGTGAGTGGAGGTCACCTCCGCGGCTTCCTCGGGGCGAAGGGGGGGTTGCACCTTGGCAAAAGAATGATTGGGCCCGTTAGTTAGCCACACTTAGAAAGCGGGAAGACAACTTCCTTAGGGATGATTGCGTCCCGAAGAGCGACGTGGCCTAATTCGTCGATCGCTACTCCAGGACCCGCGCCACTAGAGTTTAGCGGAGCTCCCCGCCTAGACTTCAGACGGTGTCTTGGGTACTGAACTACTTTACAGCGCTCCAGTTCAAAACACTGTCAATCACGCGGAGAGAAAAATAATATAACAGCAATAAAAATTGGAAAGGAAGGAAAGTTGATTCCAAACAGAAGTGGAAGGGGCTACCGTTCCTCGTGGCTCAAGCCCGAGAAAAGCCATCAAGTCTTTGGTTCAGGGCTGCAATTCTAATTTACGTCTCCTAATTGTTGTGTTTGCTCTAATTGGGTGTAGACAGCCTTTTACATCGGTCATTCACGTACCGCTAAGCTCCTTCCAATACCGTTTGTAGTTTTAAACGCGACCGGACTCAAAGGAGCTAATCTATATTAAAGTGTAATTTAATGTAATTTTTCATTGATTTTTTTTAAACGATGCCCATAATCTCTCAGAAGTATAATTTAATCAAGGACCGGGATTGTGTGTGTGTTCATTTTGCCCAGTTAGCAGAATAAATGCATTCTCAGTCATTGAGTCTTTTAACATATTTTTCCTAATAATTCGCAAAACAAGAAGATAATAGTTAACTCTTTATATAGCCAGGCAATTAATCTGTATTTCTCTGTGAATAATAAACCATTTTTCCCCCCAGACACTAGCTTTTGTGTCTTTTCTAAGTTGAAGTCTTTGGAAGAGTATCCTCTTGACTGAGCCAGCTGAAAAGTTTGCCCATGGGAGACCTTGATTATTTGATGTATCCAAGGTTTGAGGGGAACTGGAAATTATACTGTAGGACTCTCTAAACACCTTTCTTTATTCAAGAAGGTTGAAGCAATCCTTTCTGTTTCGCTTTTCCATTCTGGCCCAACTGGATTCTTTGTATCTGCAGTTAACATCCCACTAACTCACACCATCACCATTCTCTCTCTCGCTGCCATCAAGTCAGTGCTGGCTTGTAGGGACCACAAACTGCTACTATGAATTTCTGAGACAAACTGTTGATAGAAGAAAGCCCCTGCTTTCTCCCAGGGAGCAGGCTCCATCATTATCATTATTATTCAAATATCTGGTCCCTTAAAAATTCCTTAACACTTCTCCCCACATTTTCTTCTCTTTAAGGTCCCCCCCCCCCCATGCTAATTTAGTTGAGTACACTCCCAGGCAAAGAGGAGAAAAAGGACAGTTATTTCTGGCCGCCTCCTGCTTTTCTTGATTATTTGATTGCTTCGGTTATATGGCTATGTTTCCTTAACTAAAGTGACTTAAAGCAATTTCTCAGACTTGACTGATTTCTGCTGATTTCCTCTGACTTTATTTATGCAGCTGTGGTGGACTGGTGGGTCAGCTGAATGCAGGTCCAAGATGGCTTGTTTCTAGATGATGCTGTCACAATTGGATCAGTTCTGTTCTCCTGCACGTTTGATTCCCAGCCTCTCAGCCTCACTGAGGCTGGACCCGCTTCTTCACATGGCAGTCTCAAGGGTGCACCAAAAGGGTGAAAATACAGTAACATCTGAGACCAAGCCTTTGAAGTCTCTTGCATCACTTCCACCACACCGAATTTGCAAAGCAAGTCACAAGCCCAGTCCAATTTTCAGGGTGGGGAAAGAACTCCTCTACATGAGAGAAGTGAGAGACTCAGGAATGGCAGAGGTACCTGGCAATGCAGTGTTCATACCAGGACAGGAATATTGTCTATGGTTATTAGACAATACCAGAGTGACCATCCACAGAATCGAAGCCCAAGATTTAGGTGCCATCTTCGACTCTTTCATTACAGAGCCAGGCAATTAACAAGCCTGTCGATTTACCCCTAAATATTTCTCAAATCTACCTACTTATTGTTAAACCTCTAGTTGATGCCACTAATAGCTTCCTCCTGAAAAATAATAGCATCCTGGTTCACCCCTTGTTTTGTGTCTGCCTATACTCAAAATCCAGAGGTTTAGTGACCAAAAGATTAGCAGTTGAAACCCACCCACTGCTGCCTCAGAAACCCTAGGTAGCAGTTCTACTTTATCCTCCATGGTTGCTGTGAATCAGAATCTATTTGATGGCAGTATGTTTAGAATACAAATGATTGGCGTTGCAAATTTCCCAGTAGCCCAATTCAAAAATAAGTCAGTTTAAATGCATTCCTTTCATTCTCCAAATAAGCTGTTGTTTGTTATTATTGTTAGATAGCATTAACTTAACTCCTAACTCGTGTTAACCCCATGCGTAATACACCAAAATGCTTCCCGGTCCTGCCTATGTTTGGTTGAAAATTAGATCATAGTAATCCATAGTTTAATTTGCTGAATTTTGGCTTTCTTCCTACTTTTAGTTTGGATACTCCACTAAAACATGTTCAACACCATAGCAATTCACAGGCTTCCGCCCACAAATAAGTGGTAGTTGCATGTGAGATATATCAGGTGGGAATCAAACCCTGGGTTCAGACACCCTTGAAGGTGAGGATTCTACCACTGCCCTCACAATTACTTATTAAGTCCTTAATCTCTTGAGCTTAATCCACTTAATTCGATTTCACAAATTGAGACTTTGCATTGAATTACCACAGCCACTTCCTTAGTAGTCTGCCCATCACTCCTTTTCTAATCCAGTCTCTACCGTGCATCTCTATTTACCGTTAGCAAGCATTAGCTTGCTAAAATTTACATGGCATGCTTGAAACTACTGTGTTGCTCTTTTTTAAATGCATCACACCTTAACCTGACCCATCTAGCTTTGCCTGTTTTTCAAAACATTTACTGGTGCAGTGGTTAAGTGCATAGTAGCTAACTGAAAATTTCATACTTTGAATCCACCAGCTGCGTTACAGGAGAAAGATGTGGCATTCTGCTTCCCCAAAAAATTAGAAGCCCGTGTTCTGCGGAATGCCAGGCCTTTAAACTTGATGTTGCCTCTGCCTTGAGGCTTCTTCCTACCTTCGCTCCACCTCCAAGAAAAAGATGACCGTGCCACATGCCTTCGATCCCTTCAGATCTCCAAGAACTCACTTCCTCGGGAAAGCTTCCCTATACCCCGTTTAGGAGTGTCTCTCCTGTCAGTACTTGGTTATCTCTAGCACTTTTCATGGCATTTGTATAGATTGAATTGTGTCCATCAAAAAATGTATTCTAAATCCTAACCCTCCTGTCTAGGTTTTCTTTGTTATGCTAATGTGTGTCTGTATTTATATCTCCCTGCCCTTCAGTCAATTTTGACTCAGCGGTAGCCATTTCCCTGCTAACTAAAAGGTTGTGAAGTTGAACCCAGCAACCGCTCCAAGGGAGAAAAATATTGTGGTCAACTTCCAGAATGATTTGCAGCCTTGGAAATTCTGTGGGGCAGTTTTACGGTTGCTCTGAGTTAGAACAGACTCGGCGTCGGGTTTTGGTTTGGTTTGGGGTTTGTTTGGTGTCTTAAATCAGTCTCCAGATACGAGACATTTAAGCAGGTCCCTGTAAGGACTGCCAAGGAGCGGGCAGCCTTTTTGACCTCGGAACGCTCAAGCACCTTCCTTTTCTTACGGGGGGGACACTGTGTAGAGGCATTCAGAATGGTTCCGCCCCTGACCTACCAGCTTAGGCTGTCTTATAGTAAAAACTAGGCTGTCCCAAACCCCTAGTAATATAATTGTTTACCTTTATACAAAGAAGGTTGGTAAGGTACCAAAATCTACATGTGGCACGTGCTCAGGCCTGACTTCTAGGAGTCAGTGCTCTGAGACCTAAAATCCAAAATCAAAAACACGTCAGCAGGGTCTGTGGTGTTTCCGTGTGTGTCAAATGTGCCCGAGACAAGATCAAGCGTGCTGTCCTTACTGAGAAAAACAAAATTGTTGTGAACATTTTGAAAGCACAAGCACAGAGTCAGAAAGCTAAATAAATACAAATGAAGCTTGTATTTTAATAATAAAGGGAAATTAAAAAGATTGCCAGGGAACCTAGGAACAG